GAAGCAGATGCTTCTTCAAATATTTCTCCCCGTCAGGTGAAACTGAAGCGACGCCGTGCTGACAGCGGCCGGAGTCCACGGGAGGCAAACATCAATTTAATAAAGACGGGTCCAGTGCTGGGCAGGTGAGGCTCCAGCTGGACCGACGGTGAAGATGGAGGGTCCACAGAGTCCTGCATCCTATCCGTAGTCTGTGGATCTATCCACCCACCTACCCACCCACGACTCCATCTTTATCCATACAATCATCAACACAGGTTTCATGCCTTCATGCATCTGTCATCATCTTCCAATCCATCCATCACTCATGCATCCACTCAGAAAGGAGCAGCACTCACGTATAGGGGTGTGTCCAGGCTGTCTGCGTTGACCACCACAGGCGGAGGATTGGCCTGCAGAGACGAGGAGACACGTCAGAACATCACAGAGGAAAAAGATCTCCACCCTACAAACACCCTCCACCCCACGCTGCGCCCGGGTCGGCCGCCGCGCAGCTGCTAAAAGACTAACTCTCCTCATGATGCTAAAACGGGAAGCCGAGGATTTGAGCACAGATTAGCGAGCACGAGCGGTACGTACGTGGTGGCGCTTCACGCTGCAGAAGCAGTTCTGAAGCATGAAGCCTTAAATGAAGAAACAAATCAAGAAAATCAATCAAATCCAGTCGTGCAGAAGCTGCTCCTTCACCTCGTCTTCCTCGTCTACTCTCGCTCGCTCGCCCGGGAGGAGCCAGATGGGCTCTGAAAAGTCAAACGGGGGGAGCGTGGCATTCCTCCCGCTGTTTCTATCTCTAATCTGCTCGCTTCATCAGCGCCACAGCTGGACGGCCGACACTGAAAACCGAACTCGACAGAAAGCCGCAGAGCCAAATGAGCGAGGAGGGAAGTGAGGATGGAAGGAGGGAAGGAAGGAGGGATCGAGCAGAGAAGGAGAGGAGGAAAGTCAAAAAGGAACAAAAAAAGGAGACCTGTGACGTTGGAGGGATGGCGGTGGTCTCGGCTGGGATTGGCAAGATTGGGATCACGGGGATTATGGGTGAGGAAGGCGGGGCGGCCTCGGCCTGCTGAACAATAGCATGGTGAGGGGTCAAAGGTTAGACACAGATGAACAGCCGGTGAAGGAGGAGGAGAGGATGTATGTGTGTGCGCATGCTGACTGAGAGGGGGCGTTCGTTTAGGTCGAGCCGAGGTGCC